TGGGTTGGTTGTAGAAACACCACCTTGTTGTCCTGTAGATGAGGAGGAGCTGAGTTTTAACTTAAAAGCTGAGATTTGTCATGCACGAAGACTATGCAGCATTGATGGATTGAATACAAATTGTATATTAATTGATCATCTTCCCCCAATGCTCAGTACATAAGATAACCCAAGATAAGTAACAAGGTAACAAAACCAGCTAATGCATCATCTAGATCAGAGGTTCCCAAACGTTTTCTTATTGTGTACCCCTCTCCAGATTTACTAGCTGCCAGTTTACCCCTACCAGCATACGTTTATAACCCCCTAATGACAGCTATTATTAGAATGAAAATTAAATTCACCATTACACAACTTCTCCTGCACACACCCCAGAGATGTATTGCATACCCGCAGGGGTACATGTGTCACAGTTTAGGAACCCCTGATCTAGGTGATCTATTATCAATAGGCCAGATGCCCAGCTGGTGCAATTCATCAGTGGAGCCTGAGAAAAAGTTAATCTGATTCTATAAAAATCAAAGGAGACCGGTCCCAGTTGTTGTAGTCCACTGGAGACCCTTGTGCTGGATGCCATTTGATACTACAGAGTGTTACTCCTTTGAAACTATATTTGAAATGGAGGATTCGCATTTAAGCATGAAAATATACAAACATACAAAACTGCATGATGTCACACTGAACGCAGGCTTTCTGTTAATTCTGCTAGATCTGTACATAAGGGTCCAAGGAGGTAAAGACGTTATCCAAGAAATCCCCAGCTCTAGGAACCAAACATTTGGTGAGCCAGGCAAGAGAATGTGATGAGCTGACTGCTTTAAGAAGGGAAATTTGGGGGGAAGCTGCTGCAGTCTTTCCTAGGAAATGCTACCAGAAAGTGATAAAAACAGAAGGGTGATTCTATGGAGTATGAGGTTGGAACGTTGTATAGTATTTGGTGTTGTTTCTCTGACGGTTGCTTTGTGGTCAGGAAAGTTGTTCCTGTACCAAGAATAGAATGGGATTGTAATACCTTGATGAAAGAAGGAAGAATGCAAGCAAAGGAAATTCTGCGTGGCTGTGTCTGCCCCAAGAAGTGTTGTGGACTAAACAGCAATCAGTTTTAAATGCTATTTAACTAGAGACCTGTTGTTAAACTGATTTAAGTAACTGTAAGTCCTTGCTTCAACACTCACAACAGTTTAAACTGGTTATATTGGATCACTGTGTACCTGCACGTTTACCATTAAAAGAAAAACTGATGACGGATCAAACTTAAACTGGTATGAATGTCCCCAAAGAGGCTTACACCATTTTCATAGATTTCATAGACATTAGGGCTGGAAGGGACCTCAGAAGATCATTGAGTCCAGCCCCCTGCCCAAAGGCATTTTAGCCAAAGCCTTCCAAAAGCACATTTTTACCTACATCGGTGCAACTTCATGTGTAGACTATGCCCCTGAGTAAAGAATGCTAAAATAATACCAGATTCAGATATTCTTTCTGAAGGCTGTAGACTAGTTTAGTTAGTTCAGGTTTACAAAGCTGGAACTAAGAACGAACATTTCTTGCAAAGAGGCAAATTGGATGAGATGATGGAAAGCTGCAAACTGTTATATACCAAAACAGACAGATCACTAATGATAAAAAAATCCTGATCCAGCATAATGATTTATGTATACATTCAGAACAAATTAGCTTTCCAACCAAAGATGGAAAGACTATTGCTACCCAAACGGATGTGTATCTGACCATTACGATTTACATTTCTGCCTAGATATACATGATGGGGGGGAGGGGGGGGGTCTATTTCCTTCTTTGTATTTTCACCACCATGGATGGATGACTGGGTAGAGATCTAGAAAGATAAATGCCTTCCCAACTGTTGCTCCTGTACCTACCTTAGACAATACACACGCACAATGTGAGACACAGAACTTATATCTGTATGATAATGAATCTCATACTTTGTGCAGCAGATAAGGGAATATTACTACCTTTTGGTACTGAAGTAGATGGGAATATTTCTGCTTTCTTCAGGAGGAACCAGAATGAGCATCAAAACAGCACAGAGAAGCAATCATATCAGAAATGCATACATACGGAGAGAGGACAGGTTCGATGTGGCCAAAGAATCTCTCTCTGCTTAACTCTACAATGTGAAGTGTCTCTTCTCTGACTGCAAAGCATGGATGTATTGAGTGGGTTGCACTGGTTTAATTTTCTTTCACTGCCCATAAGGTGTTATCTTCAGACAGTGATGCAGTGTTTATCCAGACAGCATAATTGGGGGGGGACCAAACAAAACAACACCTGATTCAAGCCTTTCCCCTGTGAATTATATAAGCACCATTTAAAAAATAAGACATAATAGTTCAGAGAGAGACACTAGATGCCCTCTCCCTGCTCTTTTTTGTCCTATTTTAAATTATGTCTATGAGTTTATCGTAGACAAAATGTATTTGTTTGATCAGCCTACGCATCTACTATATACATATTTGCCTTATGCATCTCTCTCCCGCAGATGTACCTAGCTACATCTTTCAATCTCTTATCTTACTTCCACCTCAGTTAGTAGAAGTAGGAATGTCTGAGTTCCTGATGCAATACAAAATTCACCTGAATTGGTAACCACCTCATTAACATGCCTATCTACCATGCAGTAAGCATGGGCCTAATTCAATGCTGTGTTACTCCAGCCAATGCCATGACATTTACATAAAATAGGAGTGTTATACCGGAGAATTAGGTATGAGAGGTTAGCTTTCCAAACGGGCTGATGGTGTTTGGCATTCAAGACTCAGTGATACTCATGACCCCAGGTGCTTCAGTCCTCATCCTTGTGCTCTAGGACAGGGATAGCAGCTTGTCCCTTTCGAGGCATCATCCCACTACACACCTGCATCACCCCACGTGTCTGGCAGCGATGTGCCGAGACACAAGGCCATGGAGGATGACATTGTATAGAGTGTAGGGCCAGTGCAGGGGATAGCAGGTAGGGATCTGCAGACCTCTGGAGCCCTCTCCCAGAGATGCTGGAAATGACATGCACAGGCCAGCCATTTGTTCAGGCCATTCCTGAGCTGTCTGCCCTGCATCATGACGTAACTCTGCAGCTACCTATTGTGGCTCCAGCGTATGTGTGGAGGTAGCCCTTGCAAGTCACTGCCATGCTTGTTGCCTTTTTCAGAGAGAGGTACTATGCCAGCCCTTTTCCAGTCCTGTGTAAACTTGTCTGTCTCCCACTACTTTGGAAATATTGCCAAGGGCTCCCAGATCCCTTCTGCACAGTCCTTCAGCATCCAGGGATCCAGTTCACTGGGCCTTGATGACTTAAATACAGTCAAGCACATCACAACCTGCCTTGAGTCTGTGCCATGGTCCCACATCCGGCATTTGCCTCTTGTTCAGGCTGTACATACCTCTGCTGAAAGGGCACCCCACACTGTGAACATGCAGATGAACGTGGTATGACTGTCTTGAACTATGGAAGTTCAGCAAACCCATCACAACCCCCAAAGCCATCATTCCTCACCTCCCTCACCGCCCACCTTCCCTCAATGACTGATGGATATAGGAGCAACAACTCACATCCATGACATGAGGCAGATCACAGTCACCCTGCTCTTCCAGGCCAACCCCTCTCCCCTGCCTGAAACACTTCCAAGTAGCATGAGGCAGAAACCAAGGCTGTAAACACAGAATATAAAAACAGAAATGAAGGGCAAGGAAAGCACTAACAGAAGTGCTCACTTGAGAGTCATTAAGGACTTTACTCATCCCCCGCCTCGCCTGACCTGACATCAAGGTTTCCTGCAGCGTCTCCTCTTCCATAAATGCGATTCGCAGTATAAAATTACAAGCTGCCCAAGGTTGAGATGACTTGTTAGAGTTAGCAGGAATGCTAGTCTGTGTCAAGGTTAACGAACACTAGTGATCAGTCACATATTTAAAACCCGCTCTAATGTGCATTGCTCAGATCAGCCACTGGTAGGCTGGCAAACAAGGCTGTGGCCAGGGCCCTGCAAGTCTGCTTTGTGCCTGCCCTGCTCTCCAGCTCTCTAGGTACAGTATAGGCCAGGCAAGAAGTCCCTCACCCCCTTGGATAACCTACTACAGCCCTCCCAAAATAGCTGTATTACCACCCAGTTGCCTCTGGGTTCCCACCTCCAGCCTCCAATTTGCCTCTCTTTCCTACACTGTGCTGACTCCATTGGCCAACCCTCTCATTTACAGCCTGAGAAACAGGGAAGTAAAGACTACTGTAAAGAAAGTTGTCTCTGTGTTTATGAACTGGAGAGGAATGCAAACATTGTTAAACTCTATCAGCAGGTTCAAGCATAATGGAAATAACAGGAATCAGAGCTGTGGAAAATGAACGGTTCCTGGCCCAGGGGTTTTGTGGCAATCTAGCAAAAGAAAAGCTTCAGAGAGATTCAATACATTTTACACCCCGTCGTAATGAATGGATTGTCCTGACTCCATATTATTCATTTTTAAATTGTTCCAGATAAGAGTATTAAATTGATTTTGTCACATGAATTTTCTGTGCTTCAAGTCAGTATACACACATTTTCTTCAAACTGAGGCTTCCAATACTTGGGCCCAGATA